ACCCTGAAAAATAACGACAGATCGTAACGTCTCGCTTGAAGCGAAAAGTAGGTTAGAAATGTTTATTTTTAAATTAAAAGTTTTTCCACAAAATTTAACGAACTAAACCGCGAGCCTTTGTGATTGCTGCAAAATTCATATATGTTGACACAATTAGTTTTTTAATTACAACAAATAATTCGTTCAATGTGTTATTGTAAAATCTTAATTTGGAGTTCAATTAAATTTTGTCCATGTTTAAATTAATAGTTCATTGAATGCATTAATCAAACAATAAATTGGAATTCTCATTTAATTTATTTGTAACTAAAATCATACTAATACTGATATTATTAATGCGAAAGTTTAGATGGATGGATATTTGTTAGAGTTTGTAGCCTAAACGGCTGAATGGATTTCGATGAAATTTCGTATAGATGTAGAGGATAGTCTAATAGAACACATAGGCTACTCACTTTTATTTTTTTAATCCACGCGGACGGAGTCGCGGGCGAAAGCTAGTGTACCATAAATCAATTATAATAGCGAGACAAGTACTACACAAAAGATATTGATATAAAACCTAGTCTAGAGAAAATCCTACACTTGTAGAGGATATTGCTCCAACGCACAGCAATAGTCTAGTAAACGTCCTTTCTTGAAACTTATTTCTATCCATTTCTTAGAATCAGTGTAGATACAATACAGGGTACATTTCGTGCTAACTTATGTCTTTCTTTTAAAATGATATTTCAGATATCTCTCGTGTGTTACAAAATTGATACTTCGTTGTTAATATAAGGTAATATTATTTTTATTTAGAATAAAATAGGCTACAAGAAAAGGTACTGGAATCCCAAAGTCCCTTCGCATTGGCACTTGGACGTTGCCCTCGATAATGGTAAAAATTTTCACAAAACCCTGTCTTTACCCGAAAAGGAATACCTTTGCAAATATTTTCACGGTGTTGTGAAGGCTATAATAAAATGTCTATTTTTAACAGTAATATATTAAAATATTTGAGTTTGGATATTTAATTTGGCTTCCCGCGTCGCTCGGGAGAGGGTCAATCATCCATCAGATTTAAACAGGTTAAGCTAAAATTACCTTGCGGCCTACATATGAGCCACACAACATATTTGTATATGCACATATATTACACAGAGCAAACAAGCACTTAATGCATAATGTGCACATTACAACTTGCAATAAAAAGCAAAATAAAACAAGCCTAAAAAAAAATAAGAACTCAAATTCACTTTACCAAAGCGTCATAACCATACAAATTTAGCATCTAATCATGAGTCGATTTTCAAAATGTGATTTTGTATTATAATACTCAATTCAGAAGAAATTCGACCACACAAAAGGCCTCCGGAAGTCATTTTCCACCTCACTTGCTCAAATATCTATGTCCACATTTGTTAAGGTCTTCCTTAGTGGCCAATTAACGAATGCTTCACACATGTAAGCATTAACTTCAGTGGTATATTATAGACATATAAAGTAAATTCAATTCTAAACTAATAATTGTAACCAATGAATTGTGAAACTCAAGGGTCCGTAACCAATAAACTTTATAGTCTATTCTCCTGCCCGAAAGGATTTCTAGCTGTGGCGATATATCAAATAATGATAAATCAAATAATACGACTTACTAATGTTATAAATGCGAGAGTTTAGATGAAAGAGGGATAGATGTGTGTTTGTAGCCAAAACTGCTGAACAGATTTTGATGAAATTTGGCGTAGAGTTAGAGGATAGTATAAAGAACACATAAACTATAATACTTACTTTTTTAATTCCATGCGGTCGTAGTCGCGGGAAAAATTTAGTATTAATTAAAAATAAATAAATAAAGTAAAACACTATTTATTGACCAAAAAATTAATAGCGTTGTACTTTGTTTTAAATAAACTGAAATATTTTTTTTTAAACAAAATACAACGCTAGTTTATAGTTTCATGTTGGTTTATTATCTTCAATATATTTATAGATTCTGATTGTCACTGAAAGAAATTAATTTTCCGGATGTCACCTTAACTTCGAAGGGCTAATCGGGAGACCCATGGATCCCCTTGACCTAAATGATAAAGACCTTACCATTACCTTTTCGATGAAAACAATCATCGGAATTTCGGTGCTTTAGTTTTAAAGAATGTCAACAAGACGGTAAATAAACAATTTTTGGAATTCATCGTTCAGAATAACGACCGTAATGAGACAAGCTTTAATTAAAAGTCCATAAAATAAGTAGAGTGGAGAGCATTAGCAGATTACTAACTAATGGAATCAATAATAGAATTGCTAATAGCGTTCCCCGTCCTGCTTGTTATGCAGACGGTGAAAATGCCCTCCTTAGTTGAATTGAAAATTCGAAGTAGTTTTAAATTATTGCTCAACAAGCCGACCACGCTCTGGCCCAAAGTTTTTTTCTTCTACAATATTTTACGGCGCTTAAAATTTACAACAATCTTTATGTGACAAACAATGTCTTATATTCAAATACTATTACTAACTTTGCCAGTAAAAATAAACCAATAATTCTTCGTAAATCTTACCCATTGGAAGAAAAATTATTATATGAATATTAAGAGTACTAAGTTATATAAATTAATCAAATCCAGAAGCCGTATCTTATCATACAATCAAACGGTATTCTAACTTTTAATTTGAATACCGAAGTGATCAAAACAAGATCCCTTTTTCATATAAATTTATATAAAGTGAGACTTTGCGTACGTCGTATCTTTAATAAAAGTTTTTACAATAATTACTATGCGTAATCCTTACTAAAAACATTTTTATCCATTTTATATTCAGTACTCAATTTGTTCAAAATGACAGAGAGTAAACTTTGAGGCTGAAAAGGTAATGATCAGTAAGTAAATAATTATTCTCTCTTTGTTTCAATTTTAGCGTATAACGAAACGTAGCAAACACAAACCGACGTAGTTGAAAATCCACGCATTATCGGTGCAAACGTTCTAGAACATTCCCTGCAACTGAATTTTCCAAATGCTACAAATGTATTTCGGATATTGATTTCCATTGAAATGAGAAAAGCCAGCCTACTGTCGGAATGATGGCTATAAAATTGATAGTTCCAACATGCGTTCCTATGTTCCGATCGCCGCCAAAATTAATTAAGTTTTATTATTATTATTTGTAATGATAATTTTACGCTGACACTAGGGCTGCCTACTTTCAATAAACTAAATCCTAAAAATCTAAACATTTAAATTTTAAATGGACACATGTTGAGCATCCTATAAACACTATACGCTAGAGCATTAAAAACACTAACCTCTATGAAATAAACATAAGTCGTTGTACTTGTATTGTTACTTTTAATTTTTGAAATTATGACGCTAACAGTTGCGTTAGTGAAGATTTACACTAATAATAGAGAGAGCAAACTGTCAATATCATCAACAGGCACGTTTAAGGCGGAGCGGACAAAGGAAAAGCCGTCATTACCAAACAAACGCCTATCCCTTTCGTATAGAGCTTACTGGCTAGAAATTAAAAATATTATTCTAAAAGTAAGCATTTTTTATATCATAAGATGGCAAATGAGCAATCGGCCACCTGAATTCGCCAAACTGGCGAAGCGACCGCTGCCTATAGACATTCGCAATAGGGAATTCGTCGCCTACCCTTAATGGACGGAGGAGCAGACGCACATCAGAGGAAGTTTCTCCTTCCTATGCGGTTCCTTCACCGTCAAATCCACGTTCCCTGTTCATCCATTCCTTATAAGAAATATGGTGGTAAAGAAAAGGCACTATAGTTAGGCCTCCGGCACCACACTCATCAGACGAAATTAGGAAGTCTGTGCGGAAATTTATAAAATAAGAGATGTTAATAAGAGATTGCAAGATTCGCATTGTTTGTTTACGGTCATATAGAAAAATATGGCAGGAAAAGGGCGTAACCTCGAATAACCATTAATTCATATTTACTACGAGCACATTTATGAAACATAAAATGTTTATGGTACGGTACGGAGGCTGCAGGCATATTCTAGAGGCGGGCGTTTTATGGGTCAACTTGCGAGGCGTTAATTGTATAGAAAGATTTATAAGACAGCTAATTATAATCATGGTACCGTAATGAACATTTTTTTCTCATTAAGGATTTATATTGATATATATTTCTGTGTCTCAACAAACGTTATCTCTACTTCGGTTCGAAGTAATAGAATAAGACTGGTAAATTTCTTAGACGAAAAAAATGTCTACTACATTAATATTACTAATATTGTAAATGGGAAACGGCTGGACGAATTTCGATTAAATTTGGCACAGATGTAGAGGATAGTCTGGAAGAACACATAGGTTACACGCTTATGTTTTTTTTAATTCCACGAGGACGGAGTCGCGGGCGAAAGCCACTGCCAAAATAAAATAAAACGGTCTTAAGACTACCATAGAATTACTTGTTCAAATACTTTTTAAATTAAAAGGTGTTTAACGTTTCCAAATGCCTATGAAATAATATTTTAAAGTAGGAATACGTAATAAAATGTTTATTTCGCGTAATAAATACACACTCAATAAATGTAATATGAACATATCTATGTATTACTATTAGAATATTTTATTGAGTGTATCATAAATAAGATGGGTTATGACCAATAAGCAGGTAAAGGTTAGTGAATAGGTAGGATACAATTTAATAAAACTTTCATATTGCTATATTAGTAGCTACTAACGGCGGCTTAGCCGGTATATTGCTTATTATTAATCTTTATAAAGAGAAAAAGATATATCTTCACTTTCTTTTTACCAAGGTTACTAAGAGAATTATTATAGTTATTAGATATTTTGAAAGTTCCAAAAGTAATAACAAAAATGTAAAATATCTTATAGAGTTTATCTAAAAATACATAACAGCTCAAATATATTATGTGGAACTTTTACATTTCCGTAAGTTAAGGCACAACTGAATCACAGCAGATCTTGTTCTTAACAAACAATATATGAGTATTATAAATTTGTGACGTCATATTGTTCCAGGGGTAGTGAGCGCTCAGCTCGCGGCGCAGTGGGATGCCGGTGCGCAAGGGGCTGCTTGCGCCCCAAAACACCTTCCTAGATACCATCGCTACACGCTTCGATGGCACACGTGAGTACATCGTCATCATCACACGCTCACTGTACGTCCCCACTGAGGGGCTCGGAGCCAACCCTAAGTTAGGGTGACTAGGCCAAAGTTAAACACGCTGAACCCAGTGGGAATAGTTTTGACAGTGGTAGTGCCCGCTTTATCATCTTAGCACGAATAAGCCGGCACGCCCGGTGTAATACCACGACCACACAGAAGACAGGCGTGAAATGGAAGCAATTCCGTGTTTCGTCTGATGAGTGTGGTGCCGGAGGCCTAATTTAAGTCCCTTTCTCTTTACCACCCTTTTCTATTAAGGAGAGGTTGGGAAGAGCAAGTGGATTTGACGGTGGAGGAGATGCATAGGAAGGGGAAATGTTCTCTTTATGTGCATCTCCTCGTCCGTCGTATAAGGGTAGGCAACGCATCTGCAATTGCGGATGTCTATGGGCAGCGGTCGCTTTGCCATTTTGGCGGTTTCAGGTGGCCGCTTGCTCGTTTGCCACCTTGTGTTATAAAAAAAAATAGTTTGACCACACACATATCTTTAAATTTCTTCGACCTGCACACATCCCAGGTTACATCACAATGTTTTCCTTAACCCTAAAAACGTCGCGTCAATTATGTACATATCAAAATTCAAAAAATCTAAAATCACCTTAGTACATGGCGGGATTCGAACCCAAGATCTGTAGATTACAAGACAAGTACTTAAACCACTGAGCCACCGACATATGCAATAATACCATTTTCACGCCAGACGTATTGTCTCCTATCGATTGTAAGCGCGCTCACTGTTTTTTTTTTCTTCTGCCATTTACCGTAAAGCCGTATTAGTGTGAAAATTTGATTATGATTAAAAATTGAGGTACAGTCGCTCACAGTCGGCCTAATCAAGCTGCTTTTATACATCTTTCCTTTGTGTCACATACAATAAAGGGATTATGAGATGAAAGCAATTTTGGATTTTCGTGTCTCTATCTTTTTTATAACTGTGATAAAGAGAAAAATAAAGAGACTGGATAAATAATCTGTTGAGTCTAAAACTGTGGATAATTTTATCCATTGTAAACATTTGTTAATTATTCTACAAAATATCTCTATCCTTTTGACCTGTTTTTTTTAAAAAAGCGTCCCTTTCATACATAAACTAATAAGAATTAAGATTTTTACATTCACATTATAAATTAATAAAAGTCCTTATGAAAATTTCATCTGGTCAGGTATTTTGATTCATAACAATTGCAAATTAACAGCGGCTTCAGTTAACGACCAGTTATTTCGATCCCGCGATGTTCGATAGCAGCGCATTGACCGAGTACCAGTAAAATTAGCCGCAAGCATATTCGCGAACGTGCAACGACTTCTGCCGTGACCATACAGGAAGTATTAATAGCATTCAAAATGCCATCCCACTATTTTTGCAGTATATTGTAATGTATCAAATTTTTTTGCTTCAAATACAACAACTACTGATGTTACGCCATTTTAAGGTTATTTATTACCATGATCTTTCAGTATACCTGCGTGAAGTCGTGATTTATTTTTCCTAATACTCTTCTTCTTCTCAACCCTTACCTTCTTTTATTCATCTAGACTTTTTTAAAATCTCCTTTACATTAGTCTCATTAAAAAGAAGAAAAAGAATATTTTATTCGGAATCACGAAACCTACTTCAAATAAAAATGAAACGAACACTGGAACTGATTCGATTGTTTATTGTTTTAAGAAATAAAAATACTGTGACGTACAATCAGTACCGTGACGAACGCTCTCAAACAGATTTACAAAAAATCAGCTGAGAGCGACGTAAGAAAGATCGTTATTCAATCAAGGATTCAACAGTAGATGTACGAAAATAAAAATTCTGCTACATTTATAGTATCTTGACTTGATTTATTGTAAATACATTTATAGAAACGGCAAAAAATATACAGATATTTTCAGCACCCTGCTAATGATTACGTAAATCGGACACGTTTCCTTACATTGGTTTATGAGTAGTATGTTTTTATTGTTTCAAAAATACTTATTGGCTTATCGATGAAATTACAATTTATATATTCTGATAAACCCCTTAAGCTCGGACGATGTGGATGTCTATTGGTGACTGAATCCAATGGACCAAGCAAGTCAAAAACACAATCTTAAACCCATCCTAGGGCAGATTTTTAAAAACTTTTTGAACCTTAAATATTATCAACCAGGTTGTTTTAGCAATAAATATATTTATGTAGGATAATTTCATAATTTCCTATTAATCACAAGTCACAATTATTTAGTTACTTTTAATGGATTGAACATTAGTGAGCTTGTAAAATTTTGTTAAAGAATCTAGGAGGGAATTGTAAGAGTAAGTGCAATTTTTGTCAATAGATAGCAACTTCGTGCTGGGCAATGCGCAAGTGCCGTGTTACCCGATCGTGTACTGCTCGGACGGATTCTGTGAGCTGACAGGGTGGGCGCGCGCGCACATCATGCAAAAGGGCTGCGCGTGCAAATTCCTACACGGCCCCGACACCAGTGAAGAGCACCGACATGAAATAGACGCGGCCTTAGACTCCAAGCACGAATTGAAACTAGAACTGATATTCTATAAGAAAACTGGTAATTTAGAAATTCTCTGTTTTAGTTTAGCATCCTTTAAAATTGTCATCCATAGACCTAAAAACATTTAAAACAATGTCCACCTTGACGCATCTCATTGTAGATGGAAATATTTGTGCCTTGTTCCAGGAATTCAAAATTATAAAACTCTTTACGATTTCTTCGTGTTACGTTCCGCAATATTTTTTCTCTTCCCTTAGATTTATCAACATTTCTTAAATGTGACGCCTTAAAATTCCACTTACAATCCTCGTCCAAACAGAATCTCGTTCTTACAAATTGCACAATCATTTTCCTGTAAACAAAGGACTTTTATTTATTATTTTTCGATGTAGTAATAATATTTTCTTGTCCTTTGTCCCGCTTATTTACAGGTTCTCCTTTCTGGTGCTTACTCGATATCGTTCCAATTAAGAATGAAAAACGTGAAGTGGTATTGTTCCTTGCCTCGTTCAAGGACATTACGAATACAAAAATGGCGGCCATGAACACTAATGAGGAGTTTGACAGCGGTAAGTGCTTTATAATAACGATTCACTCGATTTTAAAACAAAACAATGGAATAGATCATCTTATATACGACATCGTCTAGTCCCCAGACATTATGAATAATTCATATCTCTCCATGATTTTAATTATATGCATAAGCACGTCCTTCTAATGATAGATTCTATAATATTTGATTGTTAGAATGAAATCAATAGATCCTGTGGCTGTAGTAAATCCGAACATCATCGCACGATACAAATTCTATGTCTTGTATATCGTAGTATAGGAACTTGACATACTAACGTTAACTTTATGAATTCGGAATGAATATTTATTCATCTAATCGAGCACGTCGTTATTTAAGAATTAGAACGTAGCATTGCAAAATACACTACACATTTTTGTTGAAAATCTTTCATTTCATTATTCCTTAGCAACTGCAACTGATATTTAATGAACAGATTAACAATACCAGTAAGCGCCACTTACATTTTTATAAAATAACAAAATTAAAATGTTTGATAATTACATAACACAATTACTTTCTCTGATAAAAGTATTTTGTTAATTTTCATTGATTTTTAAAAAATAAATAAAAATAATATTCGTGCGATAAATAAATTTGAAAACATCAATATTAATTTAACAACAACATTCATGTTATTTATACTAATTAAGAAAGATATTTATAAAGTTCTTTTGTTCTTATGCAATATTCCATTTGAGATTGATTTATCTGTGGTGCGTATACTATGTTTAAAGTTGTGTGCAATGTTATGATATTTAAATACTTCTTATAATTAGTTCAAGCATGTTTTAGTAATAGGTTATGCGTGTGTATGGAAATAAATGTATTCTTTCATGTCGTTTCTTTCCACCGTATCTATAACTTCGTAAAACTACATTTTTTTCTAGTAATGTTTGTAATAAATTCAATTTTGAAGGTAGCTTAGTCCAGTTATTGTTACCCATGAAACAGTGAGAGCTTCGAAAGATTTAATTCAAACGTTGTGTTTAAAAACATTATTAATATTCTAGAAGTTTTTTTTTCACAACTCGTATCGTAAAGAATATCTTTAGTTCGACTAACTTGTCCTTCCAAAGTAATATCAATCCTATTCAATCAATATGAATGTCCGTCTAAAACGATTTGTACTAACGCTGTTGTTCGGTGTTGTATCATAAATTTTCTTCGGCACTTTCCTTGTTTCTTACAACAATCTCGTTTCTTAGAACATGAATCTTTTTGTGTTTACGAACAAAACGTGTTTGTATCTAAAGTTAAATATTTCGAAGCTATCAATGTACATCCATAAAATAATTAGATTAGGTCGTTACCATTTGTTGTAATAGTTAGTACTTCCCTTGTTTTCAAATCAAAATGCTGATTTTCTTAAGATAAGTCTAGAATTCCTCAAAGAATATTAAAGCGGGTCAACAGTTTGATTTATTAACTAAAGTATTGAGACTGGTAAATTTAAAAGAGAAACAGTATTTTGTGAGCGTTGGTAAAAGTAGGAGAGAGTAGAGAAGTTTTGATTGTGTGAGTGAGAGTAAATGGTGGTTAGCTGGTATGTGCGAGAGGGACGGAGTAGTAACGGGGCGGTTTCATCGTGCAGGAGCCGCGGTGCGGCCTTCAGCAGGCGTCGTCACTCTAGCGTTATCCCCATTTGTACCCGCAGCGGCACTATTGGGCGCCCGGTTCCGAGCTGAATCTAGTTGCCTACTTCCAGACCCTAATGGCAATCTTGACCCTGAAGCGCCCTCGCCCGCCAACATGGGCAGGCGTCGCTCAAGGGCCGTCCTCTACCAGCTTTCAGGACATTACAAACCGGATAAGATGAAGACAAAACTCAAACTAAACAATGTTAGTAAGGTAAAACATTCTTTGGCACGTTCGTGTAAGTTTGTACAATATTTTAATAAAGAAATGCTTTCTTAATTGCTAAGAGATAATTTTGCTCTGATTTTAATACGGTCCGCTTGCTTGTTTCCTTTTCAGGTAAAATTTATGGAAGGGATATATTATGAACATGTTAATTACTTTAACGTTTGATGTTTCAAAATCTTCGTCGCTAATTAATTTATATTTGCAGGCATTAATCCTTAAAATTTGGATATACAAGATACAATAAATAGTTTTTAGTTAAGAAGGAGAATCCATCAACATGGTGCTTTTCACTGAGATTAATGAAAGCTTTAAATATTTACACAAATATAAAAGCACATCTCCTTCACCAGATGCCTCATTCAAAATCAAATTTAATGTTAACGATAGATTAATTAATAGACGTTGTCGTGGAATACAAAGTGATCGATGAAATGTTTATTTAGAATAAATGTATTAATGAATCCTTTTGCCTTTTAGAATTTACTTCATTCATCGGACCCTCCTCTGCCGGAGTACAAAACTTCAGCAATAAAAAAGTCAAGATTTATTATCTCGCATTACGGCGTTTTTAAAACTTTCTGGGACTGGCTCATTCTGATAGCGACGTTTTACGTGGCTGTGGTGGTACCGTACAATGCCAGCTTCGTCGATGAAGGACATCCTAGAATCAGTGTGACCAGTGACGTTGTTGTAGAAGCACTCTTTATTATTGGTATGATTCATTATTAGCCTAAAAATTTTAAAACAAATGACATAATTTTATATTAATTGGCAGCCAGGCACTGCAGTTGTTGTTGGTATACCTTTTATGTCGAACATCGATTATAAAATAATTGGAGGCAGTTATTTTCTAAAATACCATGAACAATACACGATACAATACGAAAGCTTACAATAGACCAGAGCAGTTGAAATAGAACGAATTGAGCGTACAAGGGGATTTACAATGTCACAGACTAAAAGGATTGTGCGCTTTTAGTTTAATGAAAGAGAATTTTGTCTTTAAGTTTGTCTACTGTGGCAGATGTCTGCATAATTTGTAGATTTTCTATCTTAGAAACGATGGATTGTATCAAATTGAATTCCGATTCATTGTCTTTTAGAATCAAATGAACTTGTATCCAATGATTTCGATCACTACAGTATTTATAGAAAAGTCTATAGAACTGAAATATAAAGGAATCTTAGTATAGATATAGTTATGGAATTAATGGTATAAAATTTTTCTTATCTGATTTTAGATATAGTGTTAAACTTTCGAACGACGTTTGTGAGTAAAAAGGGCGAAGTGGTATCCGATTCCAAAGCGATAGCCCTTAATTACATCCGATCCTGGTTCGTAGTGGATCTCCTGGCTGCGCTCCCGTTTGACCTACTTTATGCTTCCGACGTTTATAGTGGAACGGTAAGTTTTTAATTATAACCGATACACTATTAATTTTCGACACGAATGAAAGAAAATACAATTCTTCATTCTTTTTTTTCTTCTTCGGTTAGATTTCAACTATTTACATTCCTCATTGTTAAGAAAAACATGTTAGCAGGAGATTCTTGCTAAACCAGAACTGTTTTAAAGATTTTACATACCGAATTCCAAGCTTCATTTGTTTTTTTTTTAAGCTGGAGGTTTTCTTGTTCTATTTATATGATCATTCTGTGGGAAATTGTCAATTATCATCAAATGCAACTTAAATCTTTATATTTTCTTAGATTAAATTACATAGTCTTTTATTTATCTTGCATGAAATTTGTTCTTGATAGTTTGAATTGCAACAATATAATAACATAAATTGTTTAACAGTTCTCCTTCAAACAGGAATCGACGCACGGGAATGTGCACTTAGTGAAACTAACGAGGCTGCTCCGGCTAGCGCGCTTGCTGCAGAAGATGGATCGATACTCGCAGTACTCGGCGCTGATACTGACCCTGTTAATGCTCTCCTTCACACTGGTCGCACATTGGCTCGCCTGCATCTGGTTCATTATCGCCGAAAAGGAAATAGAACATCATAGGAATGAGAGCTGGGATTTAGGTAAATATGTTGTCAACACAAAGATTTTGGATTAGATAGATGTTTATTAGCATATAACAAAGAAACATGCGTAAGACAAAAATTAACACACTATTTTTATTCTACTAAAATATTTGGTAATTTCCACGTAAGATTAAATGGAATAAAACCATCTTCATGAGCAGTGACTACTTAACAATATTACTTGATGTCAAGTGATTTTTGTCTTCATTGATTGACAATTTATTTCATCATGCTTATAAACTTGTAGGATGGATAAACAACTTGGCGGAGAGACTAAAAGTGCCAATAATGAACATATCGCATAGTGAAAGCTACGTCACGGCGCTGTACTTCACCTGCTCGTCATTGACTAGCGTCGGCTTCGGTAACGTATCCGCTAACACTCTGCCAGAGAAGATATTCAGCATCCTCACCATGCTGATTGGAGGTTGGTTTTATTTAATCTTTGTTGAGGAGAGCAAGATTTAGGATAAACTTGAAAGTAGAATGTAAACACATAATAAGACAAAGTTGCCCTTAATTGTGAACCTTAAAATTACATTTTCAGTTATTCTAATGTATTAATATACAATTTACTTGACCTTTTTAAATTCTTTACATTTTTAGCACTTATGCATGCTGTGGTCTTTGGTAATGTGACGGCTATAATTCAAAGAATGTACTCGAGACGGTCCATGTATCAAAGCAAGTGGCGAGATCTGAAGGACTTCCTTTCTCTTAATCAAGTGCCGAAAGAACTGAAGCAGCGAATGCAGGATTACTTTCAGACAATGTGGTCTTTGAATCACGGCATCGATATCCACGAGGTACACCAATGTTTTGTTTTAACTCTGTCGAAAAACGATTTGATGCCCGTAGTATTTATGACTATATTGCAATTTATACGTCTTATAATTCATTAAATGTTTTTGAACCTAATCCCTGTATTTTAGACGTTAAAAGAATTCCCGGAAGAGCTGAGAGGCGATGTATCATTACATTTGCACCGAGAGATTCTCTCGCTGCCTATATTCGAATCTGCGTCGCAAGGCTGCCTCAAACTTTTATCGCTGCATATCAGAAACAACTTCTGTGCACCCGGCGAGTACCTCGTACATAAGGGAGATGCTCTCACCTACATCTATTATATTTGCAATGGCTCCATGGAAGTCATGCAGAACGAGATGGTGGTGGCTATTTTAGGTAATTTGTTTTCAAATACCGATGTTTAAATACTATACATCTAGGATGATGCAAATGATAAAGTCACAAGTAAGGAATATAGTAATTTAAGAAACTATTTTAATTAACAGGCAAAGGAGATTTGGTCGGTTGTGACATGAATACTCACTTACACGCTTTTAATGGGACTGGAGGAAACCAACCTAACAATCCTGATGTCGTCGTCAAATCAAGCAGTGATGTTAAGGTAAATTTTATAATTTTCACATTTCCACAGGCTCCTTATATTTCTTTCCGTATGAGTTATTTGTTAAATTCTTTGATATACCTAGAATTCATACATGGATAAATATTTGCAACAACTTACAGGCATTGACGTATTGCGATCTAAAATGTATCCACATGGGTGGCTTGGCTGAAGTATTACGACTCTATCCTGAATACCAACAAGAATTCATTCACGATATACAACACGATTTGACATATAACTTGAGAGAAGGTTACGAAGCGGAACAGGAGTCTGACGGCAACGGTCATCCCTCCCTGACTCTTCCCTCTATATCAGAAGACGATGAAAATGTACCAGAGGATTACGCACTCTCGCCAAAGAAACAACCGATAACATCTACTAATAGTCCCCGTCATAAATTTAGGTTTGTTATTAGCAATTTTGTAAGGAAATAATTTCAAACATAAACACTTTTATTACAAATAAATTATAAATTTGTACAATTTCAGACCCGACGGACAACGTTTAACTCATAGAGAATTGCGCGAAAGAATAGAAAGACAACGTAGCGTAGCAACACCTAAACTTGGAAGAGCCGATTCCTTAGAAGGGCTTAATTTAGAAGTTCATCATACAAGGTCATCTGTAGACAGACTTGATACCCAAGTTTCCACACTACATCATGATGTTGCAGCATTGAGTATGGAGGTAAATTTCGTAACGTTTATTGGGATTTAATAAATAATTTAATTAACTATGTAACTAGCAGAAAAATATTAAATATTGTACATACTTTGTAGGTTCGCAATGCAATACAAGCATTACAAGAAATGACAGGACCGAGCGGATGGCACGCAGCCCATTCCAATCCTAATCTGCAATGGAATGCACCTCCTAATCAACTCGCTCGCAGTTGTAGTCATCCACCCGATGTGTTTTGTTGGGATCAGGTATTTTATTATTAACTATTCATATTAAATTTTAAGTTACTCAAGTGTTCATACATGGTGTTGTTATTACAGCAAGAAAGACCAATTACTCCAGAGAGGCCTAAGATCCATCGAAGTACTCAAACAGAACCTTTCCTTCATTCTGTTACCCAGTACATAATGGAACATCCAGCGACAGTCATGCTTCTACTAGGCATTGACCCAATGGCTAATCTAGCTCCTGTGTTACCTGCCTCTGTGGAATACTACGACCCACGTGGTCGAAGACCCAGTGCCCTTGAACAGATTATAGAAACCGAAAACGGTAGCCAGACACCTTCTAGTACATCAAGCGATAAATTTGAACCCAATAGAAGTCTGAGTGGTAGTGCCAGAGAGCTGGATGTACAACCAGAAGTCAAAGTAACTGTAGACAGAGAATACAAAACTGCAACTTTGAAAAGAAACAGATATTCTGCTAGTGATATTTGTGAAGCATCAGAAAGATTGCTTCCGTCAAAAGGATCGCAACCCAGTACGTATAGTCTTAAGGCTAATATCAATGGTTAAGTTGTCTGTTGTTCTGCTCATGAGCCATAATTATTTTAAAGGCATTTCAATATTGTATTTATCTTCGTAAGTATTCCATTTGTAAAGAATACTTTTAGAGTTAAATTCTTCGTGTTTCACGCAAAGATTGTGCATATCAATTCAAGATATAAGTCATTCTGTTATTTTATCAAATCAGTTTTTTATATCAATGCTTCAGTGGGTTGGTATTGTATCTAGTCATGAATCATCATATCAAAAGTACTGTCAGTTTACGAAATATTTTAAGTTTTCCTTTATGTAAAAAAATGTATTAAAAAAAATTTCCACATAAATTTTAGAACTTTAGATTTTTTCTAAAAAAAATAACTTTATACTGTCAATTTTAACAAAGGAATTATATTTTGTGAGACATTTTGTGCCAAATTATTATATCTTCTCCAATTTTCGTAGTAGGTTGATGATATTGGATTTACCTTTAGAGAATATTTCAAATACCATTCTTGAACCATTTTCCTTTGGTATTTTAAGAATAATAATCAAACGTAGTTTTTAAGGGAATTTTATTTTTAAGTAGTCTTTTTTTTAAATAGTATATTGCAATGTTATTATCAGTATTATAATATCATAATAGAAAATGTTACATTATTTAATTGACGTCCTGATTTCCGACTTTTCCATACATTTCTGGTTTTCAAGAAACGAAATTATATGGCATTTAATTTATTTTATATTGCAAAAACCGTTTTATTAGTGTCTACAACAAAATTATTACAACGATTCAGTAAATAGAATAGGATTTTTTTTATAACTTAATTAAGTTCTTGTTAAGTAACTTAGTTTTGCATAATTTGTAAATATTGTTTTAATTATGTTTTAAATTACAAAAGACATACCTTTGATAATAATTGTATCTAATAACAATATATTTGCAATAATTACTATTATTAATATTACTGTTACCGTAAAAAAAATGTGTAGTGTGATAAAATGTAGACAGAAAGAGCGTTGAAAATCTGTAAAAATGTTGGATAAAATGTCGGAGGATAATGACTTTAAAAAAATAATTCTCTAACGGCACTATTTTACGCTTATCAACCAATTTGGAGACGAAGGAGGTTTGACGTCGTTAATTCAAAAAAATCTTATTTGATCTTAGCGTGGGTTTCCACTGTCCGAGCACTTCTCTAGCCATCTCATTTACATCCATTAAAAACAGAACCAACAATATATTATAGAAGTGTTTCGGTAGTGTAAATCACGATAAGTGACGTAAACTTATGTTTATTTTCATATCTAGAAATTTACGTAAAAATATTAATGTTAACTATTAAAATTATTCGAAATCTTTCGAATGATAATAATTATACAAGAACGGAGACGCTTACTAGCATATAGTATGAGTATTAAGAAAAATATGTATAAATCGTTTAGTAAAGAATGTGATACGAGAATGTCGATACGAAGTGTAATGTGTGCGGTGCCTACGGTTTTATTTATTAATTTATTTAATCTAATTCAATAATAAACAATAAAAATAAACTTTATTTGCATTCGTGTGCATCTAATGCTCACATTCAATCTTTTTTGTATATAAGCAATGTTACATTTGATCTTTCTCTTGTAGTACAAAATATTAGTTATGTAAAGTTAAATAAAGACATATTGATGTTCAATTTGTTATTTTATTTCCAATAAACTGTTGACGTCCATCGTGCGCAGCGATACATCAATCAATTCTACATAAACACTGCTTTTCCTAACGATTTTATAAATAAAATATTTCCACAAGTAGTTAGTAGAGAATTTCATGGCTTCAATAAATAAGACACAGAGTAAAAGTTCTTCAAAAATGTAGAGACTCAAATTCATATTGTTTATGAAAGAAAAAAGTTTCTATAACAGTTGTAAAAATTCCAAGCGGTCATAGACATTCGAATAGAATACGGCTTGAGTTATAAAAGCATTCTTTTAAAAATTAATATAATGCGGCTTTACAAGCTTATATTCAATCGTTTTTACTTCTTACTCTACTTTTTTCTACATTAAAGAATAATTCGGTAATTCATAACATAATCAATCATACCCAACATAGAAAAAAATGTCAGAAAATTTTAAACACATTCTTAACTACCACTTTCGAAACAGATGTTACTTTTAGCTACACCATTTCTACTAAAACGTCCTATTTCTCTGTACAATAAATTCTTTTATATGCCTAACCATATAACAAAGCATTATGATAATGCAATCGGCACGATAAGTATTCGCATTTACGTCCATATGCGCTCAAACTAATTTTGCGTTCATTGACCCTTTTCAGCCGTTTTCAGAATGTCGTCGAGATGCGGGTTATGGACTTACAAGTACCCGTCGTAACTTGCAGATAGAATATCGTATATTTTATTGCGATGATTTATTTGCATTGAACCTCGGAGTGTTTTAATTGCTTTAGCTTTTAAGAGACCATCTAATTGGAAGCAGTTTGAAAAGAATAACATTGATTGTTAGCACTAATGTTTCCAGCTCTAGCTACACTTTCTGCACCTGTCTTATCTAGTAAGTAGGATACTCTACATGTTTCCATTTGTATATCTATTTTTAGATATTCATATAAATGCAATAGCGTAATTAATTTCAACACTCACAGCACTAACTTTCGTCAAAATGGCGCTATTCTAATACGTCTCACTGTCATTGACAGATTTCAGATAGGTACGGGACGCGCATGCCTTTTCTTATAGAGCTATGTTAGCTTACAATAAAATAAATTAAAAATACTCTCCCGCTTCTTATCCAGAGTGGGAAGAGAAAAATTAGCAACACAGAAAAATGATGTAATAAACAAATGAGAATCAATCTTATTTAGTGTAAGCTTTACAAAGGCGGTGAAGCACAAACTTGAACACGAGCGAACGTGAAAGGGGTGGAGGAGAATTGTGAACTTGTTCAAAAAATGTTGACCCACTTGCCGCTTGCCGGTGCCGAGGCTCCGATCTCCGGGTCCCGGTATGCGCTGCGTTAACCTTTTCATGCTTCTGATGTTCCCTTTTGTTTACAAATTAATATGATCCGATACTTACATAACAAATATTTATATAACGAATTTTATACTCGTAGCGTCGATGACTCAGTGATTTAAGGACTTGACTTGTAATGTACAAGTCTTGGGTTTGTACCCGGCCATGTACCAATGTGATTTTCGATTATTCATATGTACATAATTTACCCGACATTCTTACGGTGAAGGAAAACATCGGCAGAGAAATTCAAAGATATACGTGAATTCAACCAACCCGCACTGGGCCAGTGTGGTTGACTATGGCCTAGTCAGCCTAAATTAGAGTAGGCTCCGAGCACCTCGGTGGAGGGAGCTGGTGAGATGAAGTACGGTGAGGTATTTTATACTAAAATTACTTTAATCTTATACGAGTAATACTATGTTAATGTTCGATAAGGACAGTACATATTTATAATGAGTAATCTACATTTAGGAATTGCTTAAGTAACAAAATAACTTAATTTGAAGCTTACTTTCTCTTTCCCGATTTATTAAAATTTTCACAACAACATTCAAAATAAAAGAAAAAATGTAACGTTTATCATTCATTTGAACTTATATTTACTTTGAGAGTAGATGACATATTACTAGGCGCGGGCGTATGCGTTGAAAGCTGACCTCCCTTGTCTAACTGAAAGGCCCGGAGGCAACGGTGAGCAATTACATTGAAACAGTACGTTTCAATTAAGGGTATTAGTAATTAACGTGCAGGAATTGTAATTGGCTAACAGATCCATTCTATTGTTACATTCAATTAGCTGTTTATTTTAACTGTGAAATCCATTTATTTGCTTACAATAAAATGATTCGTAATTTAGTAGAGAAAACAATGTTTTCATATACTCATTCTGATGATGGTGTGAATTTTCAAGTTTTAAAGAGAGTAAAGGGGGTTAACTTAGAACCAATTTTATAGTACGGTTAATAAGAAACTAACGTTAATGATATAAGCATACAACTAGTTCATAGTTTTTAATAATTTATTTGGAATATTGTATTCATATTTTAAAATTTCCATTTTAGACTATTCCAGAAATATTTGTGTAGCTGTTTCTTAAAGGATACATTGTTACTATTGCTTATTTTACTTAAACTTAACGAGATAAGTTGTAGCGCGCTACAGAGACACAGCAGCACGGTTTACGATCGCTATCATCAAAGTTTTACCAACCGTAACTTATTTTGTAGCGCTTTATTTTGCTTACAATGTTTAAGTTTACAATATTTTGTTACGAAGTCAATTTTATTTGATTTAATGTAAGTACTTTGAACAAAGGAAAGAGAATTTACAAGTTCTATCTGTTTCTGTTACTATAAAACAAAGAATAAGTTTGTTCTTTTCTAATAATTACTTTAACCATCGCTGTTGTTCGCTGGCTTGCAACCTTTACCAAGTTGTTTCGTTTAATATGTTTAACACTCTTGGGAGATTACGATAAGCAGCTACAGTAAGGAAGGTAAGCAACATCCCGCACGTATTCCCTAGACTAGACAATGAATATTAAAATAACATGATGATTCGCTTTAATTTGATACCTTTAATACTTTAGCCACGAAGTCTTCGTTACGACGTTTTACACCATTCTTATTAATCTTCCTATCTCTTTATCCAATTGTCAGTTAATGTTATCCGTTAGTTCGTATGTATTTTTGTATATCGCTATCTAAGATAGCTATCGTAGCTTTAACGGCTTGACGGATTTCATATTTGTTTTTATTGTTTACAAATATTGATCATGAAGTAAAATCCTTTACCTTTTTTATTTCCCTCCTTATAAACTTTTATTCTTCCATCAAAGTATTTCATTCCCTAATAACAGTTTGAATATTGATGGATATCTTCAATAAACATTTTCCCAAATTTTAATGAACTTCGATTTAAGTTCTGTACAAACTCCGATAAATTTTGTTTACTTTCATTTACGTCTTAAAACCTTTCAAAGGGCATTTCGTTCCTTAAGAATTCAGTGATGTTAACTTTCGCAATAAAACTCAGATGAGCATTAAAGATATTAAATGTAATTGAAAAGTGGAAAAGCAAAATAAGTACTTTTAATAATCATTGCTGTAAAATAATAAATTAACCGCTGCACTCAGAGTCTTTAAATGATTACTGAGGAAGTGATTTATTGTACATTTAGTCACAGAAATTCTTACACAAAAACTTCTACTAAAACAGAGTTCCAACAAAAGAAGAGATGGTTAATGAA